ATAGTATAGATTATAGCCTGTCTGGTCCATAGTATAGATTATATTCTGGTCCACAGTATAGCCTATACTCTGGTTCACAGTATAGATTATAGTCTAGTATGCAGTATAGACTATACTCTGGTCCAGATTATAGTGTGATCCAGATATAGTTTAGTACAGAGTATAGATTATAGTTTGGTCCAGAGTATAAACTATAGGTTGATCCAGAGAATACAATATGGATTGGTCCAGAGTATAGGCTACAGTCCTGGCCAAAGTTTAGACTATAGTTTCATCAAAAGTAAAAACTAAGTAAAGACTATATATAGACAATGTGTAGGCCAGAAACTGTTATAGACTATAGTCGGATCCACAGTACAGACTAAAGTACCATCTCTGGTACAATTTGCAATTTTCCCTTTTATTTGCCATTTCTCAGGCAAACATTTAAATCTGCATAAATTTCTGTACCATGTGAATGTTATTTCATTCATAATTGTTTAAAAAAATACATATAAATATTTAAGATAACAACAACAACTAAACGTCATTAGTTATTATGCTATTGACTGACATCGACATTAAATAAACAAGAAATAGACTTAAAGACGTCAGACATTTAATGTTAATAATAGACATTTTAATGAAATGTCTGTTCACGATTTGTAGATATTTGTGTAAGAATGTATGCATTGATAGCAATGCAATTATGAAGTTATTTCTTTATAGAATGTCTAGGTCCATTTTTTGGTCTAGTAACTTTTATAGTTGTAAATAAATTGAAAACAGATAAGTTGTTTTGTTTTTTAATTGTGAAACAAAGTTGAGTGTAGTAATAGCAGTATATATAGGCTATTCAGTTTATATGTCCATTATATATGTATGAATCATATCCAGTCGACATATACTGGAGTGAAGACCTCTTTTTTTAACCACCTGGCCTAGGTTCAAATATCTTTCGATTTCTATAATATTTTATATTATGATTTATGGATTCAAACTTGTGTTAAATTTTACAACAGTTGCAGCATAATGGGACAACGAGGCTCAACGATGACAGAGCTAAGGGTTGGTCCAAACTAGAAGAAGACAAGAAGCCTGCTCAGAATAAAGTAAGTCCGTGGTAAGTACGATGTTAAATATTTTTAAATTAACAAATTACAACATACAACGATACAATGCTACGACTTCGATTGTGATGTTGTATGTCCGATCGAACTTGACCAATAATCATTTTCTTAACAGCTTTTGTTTGTTGCTGTTATTGAGTGAAATTGAATTTTCGTATTGAAATTGTTTGGCCAAAATCAATTGGTTTTTTTATTTTATTTTTTCTTTGCTAATGTATTTTCCATATTCTTATTTATTTAAAAATGATTTCGTATCAAGGCTGTTTTCTTTTGAGTTTTTGTATATAAAATTTAAATAAGGTTAAATACCTTAATGTTAATACTTTTAATACTCAAAACATTTCAATTGCATTTGCTGGGGGAAAATGTTCTATATAAAGTTTGCAAATATTTTACCAATTCTTCTTGTTTTTTTTTTCAATTCTTTTAAGACAGACAAAGAGAACAAAAAAAAAAAAAAAAAAAAAAAATTTAGCAAATTTTATAAAATATTTAATATTACACAAGCTTTATATACAATTTAAATGTTTATTTAAGGTTGAGGTGTTATTAAAATTTATATTGTTTAAAATTTTTGGCACATAGTTTTTTGCACGTGTTTGTTTGGCGCCCGTTAACAATCGATAAATTTTTATAATTATTGGCGGATTTTTAAAATTAATTAATTGCATATTGTTTTGTTTATATGAGAATTTAGTTATAATTAATAAAAGTATTATATAGTTATGAATGCCGAATGCTATATACACAACATCAAAATGTGTGCCTTAAATTTTTAAGAAATATGGACCTAGATCTTTATAAATCCGATAATTACACCTTTTGTTGCAATGTTGATTAATGTATCCCTCTAACTGCTTTCTCTTTAAGGCTCTATAGTGTCTATCGCAGACAGATGTATGGACCGATGAAATTAGCTAGAACTTAGTAAGGATCCCGAACATAAGTTCCATAAGTTTGTGTTCGCCAAATATTACCCTATGAAGAAAAATTATTGGAAACCAATTTGTACAAAAGATTTTAAATTCTGCAAGCAATGTAAACCGATATCGCTCCCGATACAAAGATACAGAGGTAAGTCGTAAGAAGAATTAACTGCCATTATATTGTAAAAGTTCGTGAAAAAAAGTGGACTCAGCTATTAAAAAACTTTAATATCAAAAAATGTATTTTCGGGGTATGTTCATAAAGGGTTTAATAACTCGAAAATTAACATCGAAAAGTATCTTAAAGGGTCCATAAAACATATTGTTAAACAATACTGGCGATCTGAACGGTCTGGGTTCAAATTAGTAGGGGTTATAAGAGAGGAAAGGTCCATTATTGACCGCTACTTACGAATGATGGTATGATAGATTTTAGTTCATATACAAATATATCGCAAGTTACGAAAATTAAAGTAGTTTTCTGAAGAGGACCATATATAAGGACTATGGTTAAATGTGGCCCGCTATCCGCCGTACTTTACAGTATAACTTCTGGTTACATAAAACTTACTTGTACAGCATCAACGATTACTGCATAATCAAAATATATATAGTTCTACTTTAACTGTATTCCTGACTAGGTGAAATCGTGGTCTTATATTGTCCACTTTCAGTACCATATATTGCTCTCGTTTATGCTAGAATCTAATAAGGAATATATACTTTTGTGGGTTACGACCAATACTTGTCCCATGCTATTTTGATTAAAAATTGAACACTTCCTATAGGAAACTATATATTACACAATGGGACCATGCTTACTACATACTACTGTGTTCCGGGAGGGGTTTATTGGTTAACTGAAATCGTGCTCTTATATTGCCCACTTTCAGTACCATATATTGCTCTCGTTTATGCTAGAATCTTATAAGGAATATATACTTTTGTGGGTTACGACCAATACTTGATCCATGTTACATTAAACACTTCTATAGAAAACTATATATTACACAATGGAACCATACTCTACGAAATAGAGAAATATATTGAAGGGTTTTTAACACTTTCTTTAAAATTATACTGTGGATCTGTGCGACTTATCTATAAAATGTTTCCAAATAAATGGTGAAAATTTTCTAAAAAAGAAGAAAATTTATTGAAAATTTTCTAAGAAAGAAGTAAATTTATCGAAGAGATGAGAAAGAAGAAAATTTATCGAAAATTTTCTAAGAAAGAAGAAAATTTATCGAAAATTTTCTAAGAAAGTAGAAACTTTTCGAAAATTTTCAAAAAAAGATGAAAATTTATCGAAAATTTTCAAAAAAAGATGAAAATTTATTGAAAATTTTTTTAAAAGTGGAAAATTTATTGAAAATTTTCTAAAAAGTGGAAAATTTATTGAAAATTTTCTAAAAAGTGGAAAATTTATTGAAAATTTTCTAAAAAGTGGAAAATTTATTGAAAATTTTCTAAAAAGTGGAAAATTTATTGAAAATTTTCTAAAAAGTGGAAAATTTATTGAAAATTTTCTAAAAAGTGGAAAATTTATTGAAAATTTTCTAAAAAGTGGAAAATTTATTGAAAATTTTCTAAAAAGTGGAAAATATATTGAAAATTTTCTAAAAAGAAGAAAATTTATCGAAAATTTTCTAAAAAAAGAAGAAAATTTATCGAAAATTTTTTAAAAAAAGAAGAAAATTTATCGAAAATTTTCTAAAAAAAGAAGAAAATTTATCGAAAATTTTCTAAAAAAAGAAGAAAATTTATCGAAAATTTTCTAAAAAAAGAAGAAAATTTATCGAAAATTTTCTAAAAAAAGAAGAAAATTTATCGAAAATTTCCTAAAAAAAGAAGAAAATTTATCGAAAAATTTCTAAAAAAAAGAAGAAAATTTATCGAAAAATTTCTAAAAAAAAGAAGAAAATTTATCGAAAAATTTCTAAAAAAAGAAGAAAATTTATCGAAAATTTTCTAAAAAAAGAAGAAAATTTATCGAAAATTTTCTAAAAAAAGAAGAAAATTTATCGAAAATTTCCTAAAAAAAGAAGAAAATTTATCGAAAAATTTCTAAAAAAGAAGGAAATTTATTGAATATTTTCAAAAAAAAAAAAAAAAGAAAATTTATTAAAACTTCTCTAAAATACTAAAATTTATTGAGAATTTTCTTAAAAAAAAATTAATTGAAAATTTTCCTTAAAAAAATTTTTAAATTTTTTGTAAAAGAAAATTTATTGAAAATGATCTAAATCATAAATTTTTATCATAAAATAGAAGTTTTATTATAAATTTTTTAAAATTTGAAAATTAAACGATGTCTTAAAATAGAAAATTTATCGAACATTTTTTAAAATCATCAAAAACTTATTTCAACTACAAAGTAGATAATTTATCGTAAGTACTCCAAAACTATAGAATTTCATGCAAATTTTCTAAAAAATCAAATTTATTGAAAATTATTTATAATTGTACACAGAAAAAAATAATTCATATCTGGAATGAATTTTGTAATAAATTGAATGAATCGAACATGACTTTTTTTCCCAAACCATTTTAATTTTATGTATTAAAATTTTTTAACAAAAATAGTTTTTTTCATAAATAGAGAATTTAAGAATTTCATAAAGAGATTTTTTTATAAAACGACAATTATTTTACATATTTTTTTATAAATCAACAAATTGTGAAAAATTGCCGAATTTAAAAAAAAAACTTATAAAACTAGAATTTAAGCTAAATTTTCTATAAAGATAATTTATAGAAAATTCTTTATAGAAGAATAATTTATCAAAAACTTTCTATCAATCGAGAATTTGTTAAAAAATTTCTCGTAAATAAGGAATTTATTACATTTATTTTCAACATTAAAAATTTAACATAAAGTTTTGGAAAAGAAAACACTTAAAGTTGCACTTTTAATCATTTATAAACTTTTCCACTGTTAAATCAAAATTTCTGAAAAACTTACCGAAATTCTCGTATATTATTAAAATATTGCATGGTCCTTCCGTCAGCCTCAGACTCTTTGTTATTGGCATTAATGCCGGCCGAAATGCGGCTCATTTGAGCTTCGGTCAAATTAAAGATTTGCAAGACATGTTCGCGGTTATTACGATCCACCAATTCGGTATGAGTATCAGAGTTATCGAGTAGTAAAGTAGAACGTTTTGAGGGCACAGCACTAATCACCACTATTAAACAATAACAAATTAACACTGTAAAATGCCACATTTTGTATAAAAAAAATTCAACAACAATATTAAAGATTTTTCTTAAAAATCGTTTTCAAAAAATTCCTAATAAACAATAGTTTTTTTTTTTCAAAGTTTTATTCAATTAACACTTTGGCTAAAATTAATATATTTTTTCTTTCAAAACACTTTATTAGCTTTTGTTTATAAACTGTTAAGTTATTTATTCCATAAGTTCTTCTCTAATTTCTTTTAGAATTTTCTTCAATTTCTTTTAAAAATTTTAGTTTTCTCTTAATTTTTTTAGTTTTGTCTTCACTGTAAGAACAGCAAGTATGAAGTGATTTGCGCGAGGCACTTTAAAAGACTTAAATAACAAAAAATTTGTTTTCATTCGCATCTATAAGATTATGTGTTTTTTGTAGTTGTTGTTGTTTTTATTATTATTTTTCGGACTGCAAACGAAAACAGCAATAGCAACAACAACAACATGTTATGCACATACACTTGCACCGACATACCTGCTAACGATGTTGTTGCTTTATAGATTTACAACAACAACATCAAAACGTTGAAACAACATTTGGTTCGTCGTATCGTATCGTATTTTTAACATTAAACAAACGAAGTTGTTTCATACTAACGTTTGTAAGTAAGTGTGTGCATGTGTGTTTGTTTGTGAGTACATTTAACATTTTCCTGTTAAAGTAAAATTCTGTTAAAAATTATGCATGCAATTATTGTTAACTGTTAATTAACATTGTGGAAATTAAAAATGCAGTTAGTGTTAACACATACATACATATGTACAAACATTCCTCGCCTGTCTGTTAAATAGTGTTGTTGTGTTAATTCGTTTCTGTTCTCTGATTGGTCGTTTGTGTCAACGTGCATTAGACTGTGGCTAGGTGTGAGTGCATGAGTGTAGATGAATGTTTTTTTCCTGGTGGGTGGTTGGGTTTCACATGATTCACATGATATGAATTAATTTTAGTTCAGTTTCAAGCCTTTTTAATTAATTTGAATATAAATAAGTTTAAATATTTTGATTATTTATAGTCTATTGGATTTTAGGCTAGAATCTAAATTACAATGCACAGTGGAGCAGTTAAAACTAAAGATATTTCTTAATGATTTTTTGCAATTGGTTAACGATTTTTAAACACTATTTATTAACGATTATTTAACGATTATTTAACTATTATAACGATTATTTAACGATTTAGCGATTATATAACGATTATAACGATGATTAACGATTTTTAAAGAATATAGAGTAGACTATAGACTAGACTATAGACTGGACTATAGACTAGACTATAGACTGGACTATAGACTGGACTATAGACTAGACTATAGACTGGACTATAGACTAGACTATAGACTAGACTATAGACTAGACTATAGATTAGACTATAGACTAGACTATAGACTAGGCTATAGACTAGGCTAGACTATAGACTAGACTATAGACTAGACTATAGACTAGACTATAGACTAGACTATAGACTAGACTATAGACTAGACTATAGACTAGACTATAGACTAGACTATAGACTAGACTATAGACTAGACTATAGACTAGACTATAGACTAGACTATAGACTAGACTATAGACTGGACTATAGACTAGACTATAGACTAGACTATAGACTGGACTATAGACTAGACTATAGACTAGACTATAGACTGGACTATAGACTAGACTATAGACTAGACTATAGACTAGACTATTAGACTAGACTAGACTATAGACTAGGCTATAGACTAGGCTAGACTATAGACTAGACTATAGACTAGACTATAGACTAGACTATAGACTAGACTATAGACTAGACTAGACTATAGAGTAGACTATAGAGTAGACTATAGACTAGACCATAGACTAGACTATAGACTAGACTATAGACTAGACTATAGACTAGACTATAGACTAGACTATATACTAGACTATAGACTAGACTATAGACTAGACTATAGACTAGACTAGACTAGACTATAGACTAGACTAGACTAGACTAGACTAGACTAGACTAGACTATAGACTAGACTAGACTAGACTAGACTATAGACTAGACTAGACTAGACTAGCCTAGCCTAGACTAGACTAGACTAGACTAGACTATAGACTAGACTAGACTAGACTAGACTAGACTAGACTAGACTAGACTAGACTAGACTAGACTAGACTAGACTAGACTAGACTAGACTAGACTAGACTAGACTAGACTAGACTAGACTAGACTAGACTAGACTAGACTATAGACTAGACTACTAGACTAGACTATAGACTAGACTATAGACTAGACTATAGACTAGACTATAGACTAGACTATAGACTAGACTATAGACTAGACTATAGACTAGACTATAGACTAGACTATAGACTAGACTATAGACTAGACTATAGACTAGACTATAGACTAGACTATAGACTAGACTATAGACTAGACTATAGACTAGACTATAGACTAGACTATAGACTAGACTATAGACTAGACTATAGACTAGACTAGACTAGACTATAGACTAGACTATAGACTAGACTATAGACTAGACTATAGACTAGACTATAGACTAGACTATAGACTAGACTATAGACTAGACTATAGACTAGACTATAGACTAGACTATAGACTAGACTATAGCTAGACTAGACTATAGACTAGACTATAGACTAGACTATAGACTAGACTATAGACTAGACTATAGACTAGACTATAGACTAGACTATAGACTAGACTATAGACTAGACTATAGACTAGACTATAGACTAGACTATAGACTAGACTATAGACTAGACTATAGACTAGACTATAGACTAGACTATAGACTAGACTATAGACTAGACTATAGACTAGACTATAGACTAGACTATAGACTAGACTATAGACTAGACTATAGACTAGACTATAGACTAGACTATAGACTAGACTATAGACTAGACTATAGACTAGACTATAGACTAGACTATAGACTAGACTATAGACTAGACTATAGACTAGACTATAGACTAGACTATAGACTAGACTATAGACTAGACTATAGACTAGACTATAGACTAGACTATAGACTAGACTATAGACTAGACTATAGACTAGACTATAGACTAGACTATAGACTAGACTATAGACTATAGACTAGACTATAGACTAGACTATAGACTAGACTATAGACTAGACTATAGACTAGACTATAGACTAGACTATAGACTAGACTATAGACTAGACTATAGACTAGACTATAGACTAGACTATAGACTAGACTATAGACTAGACTATAGACTAGACTATAGACTAGACTATAGACTAGACTATAGACTAGACTATAGACTAGACTATAGACTAGACTATAGACTAGACTATAGACTAGACTATAGACTAGACTATAGACTAGACTATAGACTAGACTATAGACTAGACTATAGACTAGACTATAGACTAGACTATAGACTAGACTATAGACTAGACTATAGACTAGACTATAGACTAGACTATAGACTTTAATACTAAAGACTTGATAACATTGAACTTAGGTAATAAAGCTACCTTCGTCAATAGAATCAGAGAAGAAGTATTGATATAACTATATGTTCAGAAGAGCTTATAAACGAATTCAGGATTGGAGAGTTTCGGACGAGCACTCCTTTTCTGATCATCGGTATATAAGATTCAAAATACTAAGGCCACCACCAAAGCCGATAAAGTTTCGGAATAAGTCTAAAACTAATTGGACAATGTTCGGGACCTTACTAAAGAACCGTTTAGGTCAGGACACTTTTCAATGTCGAAATAAAGAGGATATAGATGCCAAAGTGGAAACGTTCACAAGTGCCCTGGTTGAATCGTTCGAGGACAGCTGCCCTCTGCGAGAGCGGAGATCTGCCCAGGAAAAACCCTGGGTAACTGGGGAGATCCGGAACCTTGGGAAGACTCTTCGCAAACTATTTAACCGGGCACGGCGTAAAAAGACCGCAGTATACTGGGATGAGTATCGTAATAAACTTGGTGAATATAAGAAAATCGTTCGAAAAGCCAAACGAGACTCCTGGAAACTTTTCTGTGAACAGGTAGATAGCGTAAATGACGTATCGAAGATAAAAAAATTCCTATCCAAAACTCATGTCCAACCGGAATCTATGATCGATGACACGGGCAGGAGGCTTGAAGATATGGAGGAGACAATGAAACTCCTAATGGATTCTCATTTCCCACCCGGTATATCGAATAACATAGATGAACCGATATTGGAGGAAGGGGAGGGTAACACGGAAATAGTTATTACCACTGACATGGTTAAAGGGGCAATCAAGAGCTTTGCTCCCTATAAAGCTGCAGGGCCGGATGGAATTTTCCCGGCACTTTTGCAGATGGAGGCGGGACTGGTTTCCGTACATCTGTCACATATATTCACTGCATGCTTAAAATTGGCATATACCCCAGATAAATGGCAGGATGCAAGGGTAATATTTATACCCAAACCAGGGAAACCTAGCTATGCGACACCTAAGTCCTATCGACCGATAAGTCTTACGTCCTTCCTACTTAAAACCTTGGAACGGATAGTCGATAGCATGGTTAAAAGCAGCATACCATACAATGACCTTAAATATAAGCAGCATGCTTATGTAAAGGGACGATCGGTGGAAACCGCTTTAAATGAAGTTGTCCACTACATAGGTGAATCTTTCGATAGCAAACTGTATACAGTGGCAGTATGCATTGACATCGAAGGCGCTTTCAATAACGTGCACACTGATACCCTTATCCAATCCCTAGACCAGTTTTATGTTGACCGGGTGCTCCGTAACTGGATCAACTACATGCTAAGGAACAGATGGATAAGCTGCGAGATGTACGATATAACTATCAGGAAAAAGGTATTTCGCGGAATACCACAGGGTGGCATTTTGTCACCTTTACTCTGGGTCACCACGATTAATAGCCTCCTAAGGACCCTAACCGAGAAAGGACTTAGACCTGTCTGCTATGCAGACGATGTCGTAATACTTTTAAAGGGAAAGGATCCAAATTACTTGTGTAGAAGAGCTGAGGAGGCTCTGAATACGGCCTTGAGCTGGGCTCAACCGAGAGGCCTCAATGTTAACCCGGCGAAGACGGAAATCTGTCTTTTCACAAGAAAGACAAAAATTTCTACATATACTGAACCTTGCTTCTTGGGCAAGAAGATACCGGTGACAGACAAAGTTAAGTACTTAGGTGTAATACTTGACCGGAAATTAAAATGGAGACACCACATAGAGGATAGGATCAACAAGGCACATCGGTGCTGGGCGATATGTAGGAGAACCATAGGCATGAAATGG